AATGGTGTTTGTAAATAGGATCACAAGTCCACTTCTTGTACAGCAATTAACCACTAAGAAGAATATATGCAGTGTGTTATTTGTTGAAACTGTACTTCCGATTGGATTTGAAACTGTCTCATTGCTATCTGTTTATCAATAAAACTTTGAAAAAAAATAAAATAAAAATGAACAATTAAAAAAAAGATTTACTGAAGACTATTTCAATAAAACTTTGAAAAAAAAAAAAAAGATTTACTGAAGAACCAAGCAAATTACTTCTAAGGAAAATGTCTTTCTCTCCAATAATTAGGAGTTGCCCCATAACGAAGCACATGTAGCACTGTATTGCATATTTCTACCCAAAAATACTACAAATGCTTTTTAAAGGTAATAATTTTTTTAATCTGCATTAATAGCTAGTTAAATCAGTTTTCCACATGTGGAAACTGTTAGCTTTTCTATCAGTGAAGTGTTTCCATTACTGTTGCCGCACAGCACCTCTTGAGAAACTGAGCTTTGTCTTCACTCTTATGGTCTAAGAAAGAAATTGGCTGCAGACTAGACTTGCAGCCTGGGGAAGGTCTTCATCCCAAATTCTCTAATTGTAAGAACTGTTTTTCTTTTGTTTGTTTGTTTAACAAGTCATGAGAGAAGTAGGCCATGAATATAGAAGGAGGGTCATTTTCTACTTTTTAGAAGCATAAGGAAGTACCGTACTTGCTCTGATCTGACTGTTGGGGTCTAATATCAACAGCTACTGTTACCTTAAAATTTACAAAAGCTCTCAAGAATGCCTTCCCCCAGCAAAACATTGCAATTAGTTTGAGAAGGATTTGAAAAAAGAACCTTTTATTCTCTGCAATAATGTTCTTTCTCTCTCTGTTTTACTGATTTAAAAGTCATAAGATTTAAGGGTTTTTTATATTGTTGTTGATCCTTATTTAGTAAATTACCAATCCATTTACATAAAATGGCTATTTTCATGCTTTTGTTCTAGCGTGATTTTCATTTTTCACTTTGCCCATATTGCTTTTCTGTTTTCCAAACAGATTCAAATGCCTCTTTATTTTCTAGGGCTTCAGTGCTCACAAGACACCCAGGACTCTCCCACCTCTGGAAGTGCCTCCTAGGCAGATGCCAAGTGAACAAGACAGGGACTGCAGTTAGAAAGAGAGGCCCTTTGGGGAGATGCTTTCTCAGGGGAGAAGGAGAGCCCGCGGTGCTTCTCACTTTACCTCCATCGTGAAGTGGCCAGAGCAGCAGTCGCAGGAGCACGGCCATATGGGGCAGCTTCCTCATTCGCCTGGGGCCAGGGCAGCTGTGGTGGGCCAAGAGCTTTTCCTTGCTGCCCTGAAAACTTCTCTTAGTTTGCTAATCCCTGCTTTAAGGCTGGACACTTGTTCCTCAGAGTCTTACTAGCTTAGAATAAAGAGAAATCAGGTGTTTGTGCTATGGGTGGACCACGTTTGGGGTCCATGACTGACAGGAAGCTCCATGCTCGCTTAGCTATTATGGTAAAGTAGGAATGCAGACAGCCCTACAGTCACGGCTGTGCGGTGGAATGATCCAGGCATCCTTAACGGCGTTCCACGAGAAATGCATTATTAGGCACTTCCCCCCATTGTAGGAACATCATCCTAGAAGGCATTCGCACTGATGATACAGTCTCCTGGGTGTGTCATCCTGTGTATTTGTCAGTTCTTTGCTGCAGTGTCAGTGTGAGGCATGTAACCATGTTGAATTTGTTTATTCTGTCTAGTAAGAATTTGTAAGCCTTCCCAGCTGCTTAGGAGGCTGAGGTAGGAGGACCACTGAAAGGAATGGAAAGGAAGTCGAGGGTAGGGGGAAGCAGGGGAGGTGACTGTCAACACACACAGCAGTGACAACAAGCGTCACAGCTTATAGACTACAAAGTCACCTTCTGCATAAAAGATCTCCCTTGATCTTCACAACACCACAGGATCACAGGAAGAAGAGGGCAGTTGAGGCGGGGTCACGTAGGCAAGAGAGCTGGGACCAGCACACTCAACACGAGCCATCACTCTCACGTTGAATTCATTTTTCTTAGAAAAGATTACACATATTACAGGAATGCATTTGTCAGGGGTAAAAATATATATTTTATCTTTGTTTCCAGAAGTCAATTATATGCTACAAAATTGATACTGAATTTAATCAATTTAATCAGGGAGTGGGATGTGACCACAGTGAAACTGATGCCATACCTTTAGGATTTTGAGAATTATAAGAAAGGCATCATTGGTATCCCCAATTTTTGGAATGGTGAATTAGAAGAACTGAATTCACCAATAATCATAGGCTAAGTCCCACTGTTGTAATTTAAGATTAGAGATTCCTTTCACATATGATTTTAGAATGTGGTATAGATATTATTTAATTTAGTGATATTTATCTTTTTCAACTGGATTTCATTATGCAGTCCTGGATGGCCTCAAATTCACCGTGACCCTCTTGCCTTAGCCTCCCAGCACTGGGATTACAGGTAGCTACTAGCACAGCGGCTCTTCATAGTATTTTCTACTTTATCCTAAATAATTTTTATGGCCCCGGGGGATAGCTCAGTAGAATAAGCACCTTCCTGGCAAGTGCAGGATCCTGAGTTCAATCTCCAGTACCTCATAATAATAATAATAATTTTATGTGTTACATTGCAAAATTGTCTATGAAATTCTCAACATTTACAAAAATAACTACTATTATTATTCATAGTAGTTTATTTATTTATTTATTTATTTATTTATTTATTTTTGTGTGTGTTTATGTGTGCAGGATCTCACTACCCAGCTCAGACTCATAGTGATCCTCCTGTTTTCAGCCTCCCTAGTGCTGGGATTGCAGGTGTGCGCTACCATGCCTGGACTCCATTGCCAGCTCAGTGCACCTGAGGGTGGGGATGGTGGGGCATGCAGTGCCAGGGATTCAACTCTGGCCCCTGTGCTTACCTAAGCCAGCACTTAGTCTGCTGAGATACCTCGCCGGCCCTGGTAACTGCTATTATTAATCTTATTACCTAAAACATCATTTCAGGTACTATAGGACTATAAGCAGAGAATTTACAGCTTGTTTAACAAATAGAAAATCCTAAGAGCTGAGAAAAAGTTTGTTATTTGGAATATGTGATTCTGTGCTTGCTTCGGCAGCACATATACTACAATTGAAATATGTGATTCTTTTTAGATTCAGTCAACTTTCCTAATATTCTTAACTTTCGTTTTCCAGTTTTGTGAGTATAAGAAGGTAATTGTTCATGATCAGACAAGTGTTCTTGCTTCAGCAGTCTTGGGACTGGCATCTATAGTCTGCATGGGCCTGGTATCACATATAAAATTTCTTATAATCTTTATACTTCATATTCTTGTGTCAATGTGAATGCATTATGTGTGCAAATATGTTTATAATTATAGAGCAAAAGTCACTATACAGATCGTTGAGAAAAACGTGACCTGTGGCACTATGTTCTGAACAAAAATGTGATGAAGAATCATATACAGTGCTTACCATGTAAGATCAAGAATGAAGGATTTCTAATCTCCTCACACAGGTCGTTGTAAAGACACCATTCAGCCCTTGGAAACATGGCAGCTTGTGACAGAATCCAGCAATACAAGAGAGTCCCATGTGAGATGATAGCCACAGGAGATTATCTGTGTGGGCTTTGGTCTCCTGTAGTCATTCTTCTGTTAGGCCTACATTTGAAGATGGGAAAACTTACTAAGACCACTCACTTTATCATAAGTTTACTCTGCTTTATGAAGGACTTATATTAAACTGGAAGCATTTTCCTCATTCAGATGAACACATGTTGGACTAGCCAAAAAATAAAAAAATAAAAATAAAAACCTTCAGTTTGTTTTTTTCACACATCACATTCCAGTAAATCAAGAATGTTGTATTTTCATTACACGAAACCAATATTGGCAACGTTAAGGTTTAATAAGAAAGTAACTGATCTGAAAGTATAAAAATCTCTGTTTTTCCGAAGCAATGACTAATATGATATATCTAGGCCCTATTTATATTTGACAATATACTTACAAAGAAGCTTGGCATTTCTATTCCTTCCCTTTTCTATGTCACTATGATGATACACTCTGAGAAATAAATGGATGCAGGACTGAAGCACTTTGAGTATCTGGGGTATGTGGGTGTAGCCACTGAATATGCAGATATGCACCTCCATGTAGGTGGAAAGACAAATTAAGCTTGGTCTTCATTGTTTTCTTACGCTAGTGCAGTTATAGAACATGGGTTGAGGTGGACACCAAACCAAGTCCAGTCTGCTTTCTCACTGCTTTTCATCTGTCCATACATGCTGCTGTATGCTTGAAGCACTTACTAATGTCCTGTGTACTTTCTTAAGGCCCTCAGATTCATTTTCTGCCTCTCATTTATAAATAGAGCTTATGTCTGTAGTAGCGTAGTATACAGAGCCTCAATGAGTAGGACCAAAGGAAACTTCTGTTTTTGAGCATGGTAGTACTGCCAAGCACATACATAGATTTCACTGAGGCTGCTAAGGTACAAGAGCTACGAAACAGCTGTGTTAAAACAAGTCTTCAAGTACCTTTGTAAACGTACTAAATTCTGAAGTTTAAGCCACAGCTAGACTTGCGCTGTGATCATTAAACTTAGTGACAGACTCAAAACTATCCTGTGAATGGTACTGAGAGGGTGAGGCCAATCAGCAGTGATCCCTTCAGAGCAACTTCTAAGAGCAGGTTTTAGTTTAACTGAGGTTTTATCACAACAAATTCAGTTGCAGTGTAATAATAATTAGACCTGGTGTTCAATTAGTTTCTTTACATGTTTGTTGAAATATTTTCAAATAACAAAAGCATTAACTGGAAAGACCAAAGAATATAGGTGTTCTATGGGCCTACTTCAGCCATCTAAACTTATCCGGAGTAGGGCAGGCCAGATAGCTGTGAGGACTAAAGTGCCTGCTCATGCAGGCCCAGAGACCAGGGTTCGATCCCCGGCATGCCAAGCTGCCTCCACCTGCGGGGCACTCTGAGACACAACTGAGACTGGGTGTGGTGGTGCGAGCCTGTAATCCCAATGCTTGGGTGGCTGAAAACAGGAGGATCACTGCAAGTCTGATCTGTGTAGTGAGATCCTGTCGACTCTGTACTAAATACATAAAAATAAATACACAAAATTATCCAAAGTCTGTACTGGATTTATAAAAGTGATCTCTATGAACACAAATCATTCTAGAAGGCTGAGGCAGAAGGAGTCAAATTCAGACCTAGGGTGACTTAGTCAACATAGTGACTTAGCAGGATCCTGCCTCAAAGTAAAAACTGAGTAGAAAACCTGGGAATAGAGCACAGTGTGAAGGGCGAGGGTTCAATCACTAGCCCTGTGAGTGAGGACACACAGGGAAGAGAGAATGATTCTGTATTTCTTCTAGCAATTGTTTAAAGAAATTCATTTTTTAAATATAATTTTCTTAAAAATAATTGACTTTTTGAATCTTTTTTAACTTTAGTATTGTCAGCAAAAAAGCCTTCCCAAAACACTTTGACCTTAACTCTTTGTCCAAAGATGATGACATTTCATTACATGCCAAGGAATTTCTTAGGCTCAGAAGGAAGAAAATTAGTCTTGATTCCATATCACTAAAGCAAAATTCAGCTCAGTCCAGAGGTCACTCTTTGCTGGCCATGGACGTGTTACAATTTCAGGTTTCAGAATCAGCACCAGATACAGGAGAGTGTACACAATGCCACAGGGATGGAAGGAAAGAAGCACATGTGCCTGAAAACTGGGATGTGGCCCATGAAGGAAGGAGGGCTTGTGTGGAGCTGGGAGACAGCACGAAGGCATCTCACCATGCTGAGGCATTCAAGGGGACGTGGGAAGAGGTGCAGAACAGAACTTTGACTTTCAAAACACCTGAGTTATTGAGCTTCTTGTGATAAATGGAGGACTTCTTGCCATTAGATTGATTAGTTGTTTAGCAAGGTGGGAAGAAGTACCCTATCCTGATTGCAGCTAGGAAGAAACCCCATGCCAGGAATGAGCTCCCCAACTTGAGGCAGTTGGTGGATTTCTCTGCCCTTCCTCAGGTCAGCATCATCCATGGAACCCTGCAAATCTCTTGCAGCTCTGTATTTCTCTTCAAACTCGAGCACTGATAACCATGCACCATCTGATGATGCTCTTTGTTGCTTACTTTATTCTTCGCTGCAGTTGGAGGCTGAAAGGACTGGGCTGAGATGAGCTATGCAAGTGTTAAGGGTCAGGTGCTAGGCAGGTATTGGAGATGAGCCAGGGCAGGAGATGGGAGCCTGTCCTTACAGCACATGGCCTGAGAGTCATGGCTGTTTTAAGCCTTTCAGCAGTTAACATCTGAATTGAGCATGGTTATGCTTAACTGAGAGGCCAAAATGACATGGACTGTGTACTGAGACTTGAAGGTGGGTGTGATCTTGTGGGAGACTGATTTGGGGCAGGACGTTCTGTGCACTGGGGATGGTGTGAGTGGTGCACGGCACCTACACGCAGCACAGCTCACACAGCCCTGAGGGGCTGCACTGCATGCTGACCAGGTGGGAGGCTGCCAGGGACACTGAGGCCAGTGCCTGTGGCTCAAGGGCCAGAGACCAGGGAAGGGGTGAGCTGGGACAGGCCTGTGCACACTGTGTGATCTGGGCTTGGTGAGCAGGTGGTGGAGGTCTGGGATACAATAAAGTGCTCTGAACAAGTGAGTGGAAGCTTAGGGAGGTCAGGGTAAGGCTGCATCGCAGGACCAACTCGGAGATCACCCAAGATCCTCAGTCTTTCAAATAAGGATCACTAATTGTGAAGGTAGAAAGAAGGCATAGCAAAGATGAACCCCTAGACTGAGGCTGAGTCCTTTTGGTGGACTCCTGAATGCCTCTTGGTGGGGTGTGGGGAAGGGTCCTGCATGCACTTTCCTGCAAAGACAGTTGATTTCTGCAAAGGAAATTACCTTGGTGACCATGTATATATTGGCCACTCCCGATCTCTGCTCTGGCAATGGCTTTCTTCCTAAGGACAAGCAAGTATGGATTCATTAAAAATTGTTTTCAGAATACCAATACAGTTGCTTCCTTCCTTTTTCCTTTTCATATTGTTAATGTCAAGCATCACAGAATGTTTTCCTGCAGTAAATCACAGCGATGACAAGACTGTTGTTGCAGAAGAGAAGCCCAGGAGGCCTGGGGCCAGGCCTTGTCTCATGTGAACGGTCTCATCAGGGGGCTCCGCCCTGCCGAGATTGGTCAGCTGACCCAACTGCGTATCTGACACTGTGCTTGTCGAATAAACCAATTTTCACATTGTGCCCTCTTGTCTGCGAATTTGAAATACATAAACATAGATCACAAATACTTCTTGAGCACAGTAGCCCAAGTGACATTGCCTCTCCAAGCTTTTTTTTTACTATTTCTTGAAAAGAGTTTTCTATGCTTGAAACTAAAACTTTATATGAAACTTTTTTCTGCTCAATATAGTTAAGGATAATAATTATGACTCTTTACTGTAAAGAAAATACAGAACCTAGAAATATAAGTGATTTAGGATTTTCCCATTACATTTTGGCCAATGTGGTGACCGTTAGGCTCATTATACAGTCAGCAAAGTGGAGTCTCAACAAGCTAAATGACCTGCTCAGGATCCTACAGTCCGCAGCACAGTGCTGGGCAGGACTCAAGTCTGGGTATTGAAAGTGCTGCAGTACATCACACTGCCCTATTTGTGACCAGTCAAGTGAACAAAATCACTATTCCTTTCCAAAATCCTACTGAGGCAGTAGGTTTGGGCACAGCCAAGTGGCTGGACAATCAGGCAGGAGCTGTCAGTCACAGAGACCTGTCCATCACAGCCACAAAGCCTGGCAGAGCCCTGCGTGGGACAGCCCGGGTCTGACAGCAGAGGAGGACAGAAAAGCTGTAGCCACTGGCCCCGCGGCCCTTGTCCTCTCCCTTGTCCTCTCACCCTGCATGCAGGGTGTGTTCTCTCCTCTCTTGTCTTCAGGGCACTTCTGCAGAGTCCAGTACTTCTTTCTTCCTCCTTCACCATGAGTAACTGTTAAGCTTTTATGTTCTGTATTTGTTGCTTCCATTCTTTGAACAGGACAATAGCAGCCTGGAAAGCAGCCCTGGGTACTGTGGCTCCCGGGATACCCAGGAACAGGCTCAGCGCAGCCAGCAGGTGTCCTGGCCCTTGGACTCAGGGTTTCTGAAGCCAGGAAGGACAGCTTTCCCCTCCTTGCCCCTTCTCTCCCAGCATGGGATTTTTGGTTTTCAAGAGAGGCAGCCAGCTAGAGGGTGGTAAGTCAGTGGCAGCTGGGGATCCGGCAGGCCCACCAGTGGCCAGGAGAGGGGAGCTGACGGGGAGCC